TTTGGTTTATTCGTCCGTTATTACTAAGCGTGTCTGAGAAACTTCAAGGAATAGCGGAGTCCCAGCGTAGCAAGAGCTGGGTATTGACGGTTTGTGAGACGTGGCTGACACTCGTTGATCACCTTTCTTTTCCTGATTAACGCCTTACACCTAACATCAATATTACTCACTATATCAAATCTCTTTACAAGGGAGATAGACCTCATACACCTATGGTCAAAGAAAGCCAGAGTCTTCAAGTTCTCTACTTTGAAAGAAAGGAATAAAGAAGGAAAGACGAAACTTTGATAGATAGCTGGATATTACGTTGTGTCAGCGAATGATAAAGGAGCCTTTTATATCCATGCTGAGATTTCGTTAATAGTTAATCAGTTGATTAAGACTGATGTAAATCCCCAAATAAGTGGGATGATTACCCTCTCAACCTCCTTTACTCTCTATCTCTTCTTACCTTGAAAACAGTGCACGTCAGTCTTTAAACATCGTCTTATGTTTGATAGGGGTGAACGGGCATGCTAAAAGTTTAGAAGATGTGGAGCACTTTCCAGGGTCTTTAATTCTAATTACTGTATCATCTACGTACTCTAAGTTGACTAGTCTTTACCTTAGTAACAGGTCAGTCGCTAAGTCACTCAGGTCAATGAGGTTCGCACCGATGATCCCCTAGAGACAGTACTGTTTGCCATCAATTCAGGTAACAACTCTCCATCAACTGTTACACATGTGCCTAAGTTGTTTTACGATGGGTGCCTTTATTAGACTCCCTTCACAACTGGACATTACCGAGTCTTCTCTAGAGAGACGGAGTTGTATTCCTCTGTCGGTTGATGAAATATAGTAGTTGTTTTACGCCGGTAAGTATTTCTGTGTCCCAGAATCTGTAGATGTGCGACGATATCTCGAATACATCCTCGACCTGGTCTAAAGCCTACCTAGTTTTTCCATGTTTATTTATACCGAGCACTGCTCAATCAATTTGATGATGCCTGTAAACTGGCGTCCCTCATGTACTGTACCATGAGAATAAATCTATTTATTTATTTAAATGAAATAAACATATCTATGATTTCAAAATAACACATCAATGAACTACAAATCAAGGATTCTGTACACAACAAAATTATGTATGAAAACTGACTTCAAGCTTTATTTTTTTTCCCAGGCACTTATAACCCATTCACCAAAGACCTGGTTTTTTTGTTAATGCGAAGACAATACTTCTGTATTTCCTGATGTGTTGCACTCACTGAAAATCTAGCGGATTTTTCCAACTATGCACAGAAACGATTGTACATAAGTGAAAAGGCTGTTTTATACTATTGAGATTAACATTTGTCAAGTGTATGTATAATCTCCAGCGTACATGTTAAACATATTTTGCTATCGACTATAAATTGTGACTGAATAATATGGTCCTGTTTCTGTAACAATTTGATGATGCCTGTAAACTGGCGTCCCTCATGTACTGTATCATGAGAACAAATTTATTTATTTATTTATGTTCATTCTAGAATTTTAAATACCATGTTAGTCAAGCCAATCTTTCACAAGAATATGTGTCTTGCTATTTAGATGTTGGGATAATCAATAGTCTACACCAGTTCAACAGAACTTCCTCAGATTCTGACACAGCCAGTCAGGAGTTCACCGATATCATACTTATACACTTCTGAAGTCATTTATAGAACCGATGTACATTTAGGACTCTGGCGAAATTCAACATTGCCTAGGGTGAGTTAAATTGTGCCCCAAAGTGTTCCCTAAAATATGCCAGTCTTCGATCGAGAAAAGTAAATAAAGCAGCGTTATTCTCGGAAATTGCTGCTTTTACTATTGGTTTCTTACAACCTCTTTCCCTACTTAGTCTAAATAATCACCGGATGTCGCTTACCGCCTATCTGTTTACCACCTATATACCTTCTTAATATATGTGTAAAACTTGGGCACTGTGGTATTAAGTAATTACATAGTAGTTTGATTATTAAATGTATCACACAGTGAAACATTATCGTATACTGGATGACGTTTCGAACACAATTTATTGTTCATAGTCATATCAATTTTTGTCACACGACTTCGAGATTTGATTTTTATAGTTTTCTCTGTCTTCTCCTATTTGTTGTATGGGCAGTAGAATTTTCCATATATCTGGGACAAGTGTTGAATCATTCCTATTACATGTATTTGCAGTTGATTCGATAAACAAAGCTTCTGTTATCAATCTCTCTCTATATATATACCCTGTGACATTAGATTTTAAAACTGTCATCCTATCCCATCCTATTGTTTGGCTGCGTGTAACTGCATGTAGTGCTATAGCTGAACTACTCTCTAGATTTCTTATCTTATTCGGGTCAACCAATCTAGATTTAGCTAGGTTTTTATGTTCGGCTAGTCTGACTGACTACCCCTGTTCTACTAGTTTGACCTATGTATTTGACCTCACAATCATTGCAGGGTATTAGATAAACTAAATTGTTTTGTTTTAATGGCTCTACAGGATCCTTTAACCGACAAAGCTTGTTTCTAATTGAGTTTGTGGGTTTGAATGCCACTTTTATTCCTGCCGAGTGAGGATAAAGGCCGACACCAGGTGTTATCGCGCAATGCCATCGGTTACCGCGCTCACGTCAACAGACGTTATAATCACCTATTTTTTTGGAAATAGATTATATTTGACTAGTTTTAGACTTATGTAGCCGGATGGCAGTATTTTGCTGTATTTTGTTCTTAGTAGAGCGTAAAATTGTATATTATAGCTCGGACGAATTATCAATGAAGAAGTCATCCTTTTTAAGAAAGTTCGCATAGAAAGACTATTATTTGCATTATAGTGCGTTGAGGGTTTGTTTTTTTTCGAGTTGTTTCAGATCTTAAGGTTGTAAATATACTGCAGTCAATGGCTGTTGTCATTCCAGTGAATCTATTAGAATCTGGCCTATGAAAGATAAATAGCATGCAGGCATAGGTTAGATGTGTGCTTTGAACATGTTAAACTTTTCTGTTATCATCCGGGATGACTGAAATATTCCATAACACATTGACGACATTATGCGATGAATGAGACAGGCTGCTGAATTTCCTGTTTATTATATCTATTTTGATGAAGTTCCTAGTTAAAAGTGCTTGGGCGAAGATGTGAAAATAGTTTAATTGACATTTGCACATGGAATTTCACAAGGCCTTAATTGCTCAGTGCATGAAATGGCATCAGAGTATATTGACATCAGTGTTCATTGTGTCTGGAAGAATAGTATAAATAGTCCTTCTCAAATGTCAGAGTACTTAAAATTAGTACCAGATTTATGTCGATTAGTAGCTGGCGGCTGTGTCGTACAACTACTACACCTGTTACATAGGTTATATCAATCTTAAAAATTATTTTGCTTCACATCACTAAGATATTGTGAGATCCTTAATGACTTAATTGTGGCTATGAAAGATGTAGAAGATGCACTTATGGCTCATATATTTAAAGCAGTTATTATTAACAAGTTATCTGTAAGCAACTTGTGATGTTCTGAATACTGCAAACTGTTGATAAGAAACTGCATCAAAGGAAAAAATGCTGAACAGCTAGAAAATACTACTGCAGTTTCGTTGGTTGTTACCTTTTGCATTTGTAACTCATTATTCCAAAGCTGCGATTGACGCCAAACCATCCATGGTACCCCACAGGCCCTATAGAAATTTGTGAGACATCTTACATGTCAGGTTGTCTTCCATATTATAAGGTTGCAGATCTTTCAATTTACCTCTCACTGAAGTATCACTTATCTACTTCACTATGGTCTTTTCATTTGTGCACTATTACACTGCATTTTATGTTAACTGGATATGCCTTTATGCTTACAGTCTATTTGCTTTTATTAGAAACACAACAACAGCAGTGTTGGAACAAAGCTGTATTTTCATAGAAAACATCATATTTTCTATCCTTACACCAATATGGTTGGCATTAAACATTGCAGATGTATACTCACATTCCAACGACATAGCACTTAGCCAAATGTACGGTGTTCATTATTAAGGGTTTACAATTTAACTCTTATAATTCATGATACTTCACGATTGCAGTTTATAACATAACTTATTGCGCCTGTAGAAATGACATGCATTCATTGTAAACATTGGTTTAAACGAAATTTGAAATTATTACTATATGCTTGCTGCTATCCTTTAGAAGAGGAATAATGTGTGTTGCAGTGAAAACCCCAGAATAATGATGTCATTACCAAAGAATGAGAAAGGAGAACAAACCATTTTCAGCAAAGGTAGGCAGATATAAATCGTTTACCTTTAATATTACTTCTTCCTTACTTCAGCTATTTAAAAAACACTTTGTTTACTTATTTGTAGATATCTGGTAACGTCAATCACCCCAGTCACAGAGATTCGACATTGCACAAATTATTCCGACAATCGACTGCGTAAACACATTTGCTTGTTATTATTTTTTCATTAAATACATTTAATATCCTGCTTACCAGACCTTTCTTATTATATCTGAGTTTAGATGTATTTGTCATGATGACTAGGTGCAGACATGACTTATTAATAAGAACTGACGAAGTAATTGGTGGCATATTTTAGTGTAAGCTAAATCTAAATACGATTGTTAAAGCTCAACGAATTCAATAATTCGTCTGGTGTAGAGTTGAATTTACGCTACATGTCAACAGCCTTAGTCATATGGATTGACATCACGCTTTAAGTGAAACATTAGTAATGCAATACTTTCGAATACACGTAACCGTATAAGAACTGGGACTCGAATGCAGTGCCTAAGGTATGCCTACTATTGTCCCTAAAGACTTGTATATGACTATGATACTTATGCACGTTAGCTAACTGAAATACTTATAATTTAACACGTATGCTGACCGACATCGTTCCTACACAATTACACTTACGTATTGTTAGTAGTGAAAGTCCTAGAGAGCACCGGTCTAGCATGCCGTGCTCACAAAGTGAACACATGAATTGAAAGACAACAAAATTTACATGAAAATTTTATTTTCATTATGACAAAAATTTAGTTTATTTACATATTAAGAACACGATTGATTCCTGCGATTACTCCGTCTGCATAAGCATTGGCAAACACTTCTCCAAATTTGTCATTAATTCTGTCCATACCCGCATTGATAATCTTCTTTTTGGTATCGTATATGTTACTTTTATGCAGACTATCAGATCTTTGCAAAAACCGTTTCATCTGCTTGTGGGAACTCTCGACACGATTATTTGTATCGTTCCCAAAAGTCAGCACGTTATCTCTGAAACAGGCCGCCCACAATTCTCGTCGATGCATCCAACGACGTTGTAGGTATTGACTGACATTAGCGTCCAATCTGCTAATAACTCTGAAGTAGAAATTAAATCTGCAAAATGAGAACAATAGAGGCATTACTCTGATCTCCTTTTACACTGCACTAGACGGCATAAGTAGTTCTTTACAATGGGATTTCTTGTCTACGAATAAAATGTAAAGTATGCTTTGAAAAACTTACCTTCCGACAGAAAGCTCGGCAAACATGAAAAGAACACAAAACAATGTGCGCTTGTCTGTGCGTTAACTTGACGGCTGCTATTTCAGCCTGCGCACAATCCATAATGAAGGATTCTGTTTTCGAGGTGTCTTCCATTATTTGCCGGAAACAGTCTAATATCCAAACTACATCTCGTTTGAATTCTTTTCTAGTCCACGCAAATAAAACTGGTCGTCCACGACCAAAATTATCCGTCACAAGTAGCTGGAACAAAGAATACCTGCACGTTGATTAATGAATTGGTAAACTTACTTCCCTTTATTTGTATTATACGTCGAATCAATACCAACAACTTCAGGGAACTGTTTATACAATTCCATTTGCTCATAAGTTGCAAAACAAATTCTTGTTAGTGAATTCCTGATCGGTTCATCGGAATAATACTCCATTAACTTCCCACGGGATTTTAGGAATTCAAAAATGTCACGACGACTCGAAATACCTTAAGTATGTAACAAGTACGTCAACGTTACCTTTATTCACTGCGGCTTTCATATTTTTAACGTCAATGCGAGTTATATCCTTGTTGTACTTCTCCTTAACATGCATTATTATTTCATCGGATGAGTGGGATTGCTGAAGAAGTGGTTCAATATTTTCTTTCTCTTCAACTGTTAGTCGTCTATACCATGGGTCATTCTGCATGTACACCCTGCTGCATGGATGGTTATGCACCATATTGTGGGAAGCAATTATGTATTCACTATGATGCAAAACCACGCGAAATGAAGAGGAGCAATTGCAACATTTAGACCTGCAATATTCATGAAATCATATTACACTTCTTCTTACGACTTGTTTTTCAATTTCAATCCACGTCTTGTACGATTCACTCCAAAAGTGCATCTAAAACCAACATAAGCGTACTTAAACCTGGCATCCGGCATCGTTTTGCTGCAATTATGAACATAGTGAGTGTAGGATAACTACACTGTTAGCATTAAATGACTCCCTCACTTTTTGAAATTCTGCTAATGACTTCTCAAATTCATCCCAGCTGAAGAAACGCTTTCCAAGTATGTATTCAGCAAAAATTCCACTTAAATCTGTGCTCCTGTCACGCGAATTGACTACCTGCAACGGACTAAGATAAAGTTATCAATTAGGATCCATCTATGTCACAACTATTCCAACATAAATCGTAAAAAACAACATTGAAATACAGGGATGATCGATAACCATCAAGAAAATGCCGCACGTATAACCTAAATTACAGAAAAACACAAGAACCCACCGGTTCGTTGACATCGCAAGCAACCAATAGACCAAACAACGAATTGTACGACAAATAATGCCTAGTACATGCACAAACAAAGAAAAACAAAGCGTTACAATAGTTTCATACACGTTTACAGTAATCACATATGCTGGCAAACGACGCAAACACAACCACGCAAATACAGCACCCGACAGCACACACCCAAGGACAATTCAAACTCCAATTGACCGCCACCATTCTAGCCAATGAAAGACGAAAAAAAATTATTCGCGGAAAATATAACACGAGACAACCTATATACTCACCCTTCCTGCCTTGTTAAGAATTCTGCGTAAGGCTTCCGAGGTTCCTTCTTTGTATGGAATTATTGTTGATGATTTACATTCCTTATTGTTGGTGTCGTTATTAATATTATTATTATTATCATTATTATTATTATCACTATCTCTGTTATCATTATTTATTTTATTTTTACATTTACTTACATATTTCTTGACTAATTTATCCGGGTAATTATTAAGTTTCAAGGCTTCTTTTATGGGTGTCACTTCCTGTCTTAGATTTTCCTTGGTACTACTTAGTTTTTGTGCTCTGTCATTTAAACATTTTACTAATCCTATTTTTACTGACATAGGATGGGATGATCGGAAATCCAAATATCTGTTTGAATGTGTGGGTTTTCTGTAAACACTAGTGTTTAGCTTCCCATCTTCTTTCCTTTCTACGTTGCAATCTAACATTGGAAGTTCCCCTTCCTGACTTTCCAATTCATAAGTGAATTGAATTGCCTCTGCCTTCGAGTTGATGTGCTCGAAAAATCTATCTATATCTTGTGTTCTAAGTACAGTGAATGTGTCATCTACATACCTCCACCATACTTTTGGGGTGGGGGTGAACGTTTCAATCGCTATCTTTTCCCACCTATCCATGAATATATCTGCTACCACGGGGGATATTGGTGATCCCATGGCAACTGCCTCAGTTTGTTTGTATATTTTCCCTTGGAATTTAAATACTGTAGAAGTCAGGCAAAGCTGCACTCCCAGCATTATGTCCTCAATTGGCACTTTTGTCCTAAGTTCGAGTTCTTGGTCAGAAATGAGTTCGTTTCTGACCGCCTCTATAGCCATATTTATTGGTATACGTGTATATAAACTGACAATGTCAAAACTAACCATTTTTTCTTCATTATCTAATTTTAAATTATCTAATCTGTGTTTTAGTTCATAAGAATTAGTTAGTCTAGATTTCGAGTGGATTTTTAGGGGATTTAATACCATGGCTAAATATTTAGATAATTCATAGGTAGGTGAATTTCTAAAATCAACTATAGGCCTAATAGGGTATCCTGATTTATGAATTTTAACAACACCATACATCCTACTGGGGTTATTAGTTTTTGGCATTAAATTAAACCACTTAGACTCACCTAGAAACGGCTTCATTCGGCGTATAAGGTCCGCTGTGGATTTCTTAACTTTATTCATAACTGTGTCTATTGATTTAATAATTTCCTCATATGGTCCTGTTTGTATGTGAGTATTTACCTTGTCCAAATAGTCCGATTTGTCTAATACTACTGTTGCGTTCCCTTTGTCTGACTTTGTGATTACTATATCCTTGTTATTCTTGGGGTGTTTTAGGGCTTCTGTCTCTTGTTTTGTCACGTTAGGTTTTCCACATTTTTGTCGTTTTAATGTAAGTGCACATTGTGCACGTACTTCTTCAGCTGTTGTTTTGTCTATCCCACTTAGTGCTATTTCTATTTTAGGGATGACATCCTCAGGTTTTAGCTTGTCCACTGCTACATTGAAGTTTAGTCCCTTTTCTAATACACTTATTTCCATCGGACTTAATATATGTGATGAAAGATTGATAACCCACTTTGATTTATCGATCGCCGTTGATTTTGGATTGTTGACTTCATTATTCTGAGATGAAGATTTCTCCTCTAATAATTTGTTGAACGTTTTGATTTGACTATTTTTTGACTTTTTGAAAGTGGCTGATTTTGCATTGTTGGAGGATTCTGTTATAAGATCATAATCTACATTGGTAACTATTCCTTTTAGCTTTTGTTTTAATTGCACAATTTCACATCTGATATGTTGCAACTTTTTAACGATTCTGTGGATCTCTTCTTTCAGGCATAATTTTTGTAGAATTTCTATTCTGCTTCTAACTCTGTCCGTTTGAACTGGAGCTCGTAGACGTAGATATTTAGGAATGATTTCATTTTTTTAAGCATCGAATGTTAAAAATACGGTGATTTTCATATCTTGGTTCAGTTTGTGAAAGTCGAGTGAGTTTATTGATAAGTCTTCGTACAGGAAGACCATAAGTCATGTTAATATATGTGTAAAACTTGGGCACTGTGGTATTAATTTTAAAGTTGGCTACATGTTGGTGTTACAATAAAGAATTCTCGAGTGGCCAATCGGTGTTTTGGTTTTGCGTCCGTTATTACTAAGCGTTTCTGAGAAACTTCAATGAACAGTGTGAGTCCCAGCGTAGCAAGAGCTGGGCATTAACGGTTTATGAGACGTGGCTGACAGTTTCCGACAGTGAAGTCAGTTTCCGATGGCGGAAACATTTTCTGACGGATTCAGATAGCTGGTGACAGTTTGGATAGTCACCGTTCATCTTTCCTGGTGCCGGCCAAGTCCAATTTGAACAAGCAATATCTGGGACTTTTATGGAATTGGTTCATGTTCAACAATGCCTGGGTCAAAGAAGGGACAGAGCGCCTTGGATGCAAACAGGAAAGTAAGTCATGGTGACTTGTCTGTTAATTGTAACGATGTGTCTGATGTTAAGCATGACATGGTTGATGTTACTGTTTCGCCGTTCAGGGATAATAGGAACATCAAACTCCCTAAATTTGAACCACGGTGTTTCGATAGAAACCCAGCTGACTATTTACTGTTTGTAAGGGGATTCTAAATCATGTTAAATGGTTTTTTATTGAATGATGAAATGTAGTTAACGTATTTGATGAGGTATTTCCCTGGAATTGCTGCAAGAGCTATACAGTGCTGTAAGTTTATGAAGCCAAAAGAGGGCTACTACGAGGCTATGAGCATACTACGTCAAATGTTTGGAAGAACTTCGATGATTGTACTGAAAGTATTCGAGGCTGTTAAGGGTAATGGTGGTCAATTACAGGATGACTCCCAGGCACTCACTGAGTTTTCGGATAATTTGCTTATTTTGCAAGAATGCATTGATTTCGATGAGTTGCATGAGTGACCTCAACTCGAGTTTTATCCTAGAAGTAATAGCAAGACGCCTACCCACTCGACCGCAAAGGAAGTGTGTGAAGATAAGCTCCTGTATGGAGGATGAGGGTATCGAGCCAAAGTTCGATGTCATTCTGAAACTGGTAAACAATAGTGTCAATCAATCTATGAGCAAGTTTGCCAGTATATTGAATCTCACCCCTAGAATAGAGCAGTCTGAGGGAAAAACGCAATCATTGATGACGACTAGGCCTCAGAGAGGTGGATGTCGAGAAGGCTCCATGATGTCTAGTAATGCATATAGACCTAGTGAGTGTAACAGGTTTCGTAGTACATCCTCAACAGATAAGTTGCAAGATGCAAGACAAACACGGTTGTGTTTTACACGTTTTCAAGAAGTGCATACAAAGGTGAGCTGTGAATCAGTGAGCAAGTTTAGTGATAAGCTAAGTGTAAACTCCAGGCCTGACTCCGAATTGTGTGACGATAACGGTGTGGTCAAGAAGTCTGTAGTTGCAACTGGTAAGTCATTGTTGAATAGTATGCCACACAAGAGAGTTACAGTTTCAGAGTGCAGTTCTGACTCCACAAGTTTACAAGGTATTACTAGTCAGAGTGAAGGTATAAAATCCGTAGGGATTTGTGAGGAGGAACCAAAATTGTCTACTTCTGTTATTATAGAGTTTGAAAATGATGAAGTCGACCAGATAGATGATGATAAATTGAATATTCGTGATAATGATCATGACAGTGCAGATTTGTCTTTGGTTGATCATGATGAAATGGGGAGAATGCCTACTACTGCTAAGTTGAATACAGGTTCTGTACAACTACAACGTGAAGTAGAATTGAATGCAGATGCAGTTGCAGAAGGTATGGATACTTGTGAGACCGTCAGTGTAATTGATCAGCGTGTAGCCCACCTATCATCAGATTATAGTGCTAAAGGGGAGCTGATAGTAAAAGACAGTAGTGGTGGTAATCTTGCAGTTAGACAACTTTCTGAAAGCCGAACAACAACAGCTTCTGATGCACCGCTAACTCCATCAACTGGTATCAATCAGTTGTCGTTGATGTTGTCATCCACGATAAAACAGACGCCCATCAACTCATGTATCTTGTGCAATGACTATGATAGTATTGGTGCATTTGAAAAGACGAAAGATATTGGTCAGTTTAGTGAGGATAAGCCAGATGTAAACGAGAGAGTAATTGTTAAATTGACTTGCATGAATAAAGGCATTTCTAGTTTCAAGTTACTATTTGAATGCTATTATCTTTGGTGCAAATTACTCTGTGCCTACGCTTGGTTGATGAGATATGTCGTGTGTTTGTTAGTCATCTATATTCTACGATACAATGACATGAGCGTGTTACCGTTCAGATTTGAGGATATAACTGATAGAGGGAAGTCAGCAAATGAACTCTGCGACCTAGGGCGTCAACCTGAGAAGGGTTGTAGGCGTACTGCTGTAAGTCCTACAATTCTTCAAAGGGTAGTGCATCAATGAGCAGTCCAATGTGCTTGGTGTGTGATTTTGTACATATGTTCATATTGTATATACTAAATTGATATCATCTGTCATCTAGCTGTTGGTAATTCTGTTTGTGTCCGGACGACTTCCACTTGTATCATCAACCTGAGAAGGAATGTAGGAGTACTGCTGTAAGTCCTGCGATTCTTCAAAGGAGTTCGTCAAGACATGATACACCAGTTTGTGTGTACTGTTTGTGTATTTGTGTGGTGTGTCATATCAATTGTTAGATTCATTGTGCTTACTCGTTGTTTTCGTACCTTGTTGTTATTGCGTAATTTTGTTAAAATTTTCGTCGTGATTACTTCTGAAGTTGTTTCGAGTCTTCTACATCCGTGAATGAATTGATTGATGTTAGAGACAGCAGATGGATTGTATACGCCGGGGAGGCTATTGCTGAGAATGAAATGCATACGGAGATAATTGTTAGCTGCGGTCCGACACGCCGGGGAGAAAGAGTGTAAACGACTGAGGCTCGCATACGTCACCGTTACCAGAACTGAGGCAGAATGAGTGACAAGCGATTGCAGTGG